GGATCAGTTGTCTCTCCAGTAGATACTATATCTGCTTCTTCATGTCTGTCAGTTCGGTCGGACTCAGTCGGTATGGTGCACGTGAGACGGGTTTCGCACCTGGTTCGTCCACGATCTCGTGCTCGTGGGTGCGCGCTGGAGGTACGCCTGCGGGTAGGTCGTCGGGCATTATATCCTTGTACTGCTCCAACACCTCCTTTATTGCTGCAGGTAGCTCCGAACTCGGCTTCTCCTCTGCTGCTGCCATAACCAGTGCTAAGTAACCCGTGCTACTCTCGTTCACTGTCCGTTCGAACCGTGCCAGTGTCTTTTCAGGAACATTCCCTGTATCCATCCAGCTACGCAGCTCCACTCGTTTCCCGTTGTTGTAGATGCACGCCTTCCTGTTGTCCCAGTCGATCTCTGGGTTGAACTGCTTTAGGAAATCTCGTGAAATCTAATCCCTTGATGTTCGTGATTGGCAACGTCGACTTCCACCTTAGCGCCCCTATGTGCAGCTGCAGTGATGCTTCGTTGTGGATTTTCGTACCGTCCGCCATCATTGCCGTGAACTTGGTCTCTTCCGAAGGCTCTCCAATTTTCTCCAACGTCCCGTGGTCGCACACCGAGTGAGATGCACCGCTGTCCACCAGTGCCTGGAGGCGTTGCCCGTTGCAAATCACCTCGAGTAGTAGTGGTTGTTGCTGCTCCGAGTAACCGTAGATGGTCTCGCTTATTTGATCATAGGGTACGTCGAATATATCTCCCCTAGGTCCTGCGCTCGAAGCTGCTGACTCGATATCGGTTTTTAACTGAGCAGGGTTGGAAGGATTTATCCAAGGTCGATTCACCTTCGTCTTGACCTGGAACCTTCCCCTAAACGAAAATAAAAGCTAGGTTTTAGCGGTCGAAAACTTCGCGTGCAAACATGCTCTGATTACCAAGTGTGAGGATCTAGGATCGAGCTCAGAAAAGAGAGTTTGAATTGAATGATCATCTGGGTACAACACGAGGCTATATATAGGGTCGACACAAGGCCCAGTAACCAGGTGTTGCGCGAAGGTTCCGAGGGTCGCGAAGCGTCCCGAACAGATCCTTCCCGAATTCGGTAGAAGGCAATTCGGTGGCAACCGAAAAGCCCAGAATTCGGTGCACGCAACCTAGCTCGGTGCTATAACTATAATAAAATATAGGAAAGCACCTAGCCTAGGAAATCAAGCAATTCGTGCAAGCATAAAATAAACCCACGCTAGAAATAGCATAATAAAGTCTAGGCAAGCAAGCATGGCTGGCATAAGCCGTCGTACTCTCACAGACAGCAGCTTCAAGATAAAACTGCGACATCGTCTCCCTAAACTCTTTTTTGAAGAAATTCAGCTTGTCAACGAGTTTACTATTCTTGGAACCAAGATCAGAATTCTTCCTCAGATTGATGAAATTAGTCAGGTTGTTCTGGAGCTTCGGAAAGAGAGCGTAAGCGTCATTAATGTCAGAATGTGATGTTTGTCTAGCCTGCAGTGGGGTACTCTATAGCGAGTACAGCCCGAATTAGGGTTTGCTATATGTATCTCAACTGCTGCTAGTGAAAACCCTCTTTCCTTTTTCTGATTCTTGCCTAGTGTTCCAACATGCTATCAGAGCAGGTCGACCCTCCTGGGTCGATCCTATGGGTGGGCCCCACCCGATGCTTCCGCTGCTCTACTGCCTGTAGCGCGCCCCGGGCGCGCGCCGTTTTCTTCCTGCCGTGCGCTCGGAGTGCGCGGCGTTTTGCGCGCGGCGGTTTTCTGCCCTGCCCGCTGCGCGCTCCGGTGACCCGCGCGTCACCCCACTGTCGCCCGACGTGGCCCGCGCGACCTGCGCCAGGCCCGCGCGCGGCCCGTACGGGCTGCGCCAGGCCCGCGCGCGGCTCAGGCAGCCCGCGCGCGGTTCGTACGGCCTGCGCCAGGCCCGTGAGTGGCCCGTACTTTCTCCCCGCTTGCCGCACGCCGTCCTCCGAGCTTCTGACCGCGCCCCACCCCCGCTGCTGCCTGCATTCCTGTGTTAGGGTTTGGGGGTGGAGAGTATGGGGGTGCCGTGTGTGTGAGCCGTCCCCTGCTCCTCCTCCTCCTCCGTCTCCCACTGCTGCAGCTGCCGTTGAGGGGGGGTGGATGTGTTGGAGCCGTCGGAGTGGTTCGAGGGGGTTGGCGTGTGAGCAGTGCTAGAGGTGCAGTAGGGAGTGTGTGAAAGGGGTGTGGGACAGTTGGGGGAGGTTGACCGGAGGTAGCCGACTTGTCGTCCGCAGCGCCTGAAGTCCAGAGAGCCACGACCCCCTGTAGCCTGAGTAGTCTGGGGCTCTGCGCCCGGTAGCCACAGTGTGAGCACTCCTGGTAGTCCAGAGAGCCACGACCCCCTGTGGCCTGAGTAGTCCGGGGCTCTGCGCCCGGTAGCCACAGTGTGAGCACTCGTGGGAGCACAGAGAGCCAGCTGCGCCTGTCGCCGTGTAGTCCGGGTTTAGCCTGGTAGCGACAGTGCTGCGCACTCCTCCTGCATATGTGTCTGCAGCTTCAGCCGTCGCCTCCCATCTTCTCACCCTCACAGTTTCTCCTCCTCCTCACTTGCTCTCTGTGATAGCCTCTAGCTTTGCTTATAATTGTGAACTACTGCTCTGCCTGCTTGTTGTGTTGATTGTACCCCACTTTGACTATGGGGCTGTGTCAGAATGTGATGTTTGTCTAGCCTGCAGTGGGGTACTCTATAGCGAGTACAGCCCGAATTAGGGTTTGCTATATGTATCTCAACTGCTGCTAGTGAAAACCCTCTTTCCTTTTTCTGATTCTTGCCTAGTGTTCCAACAATTAAGAGCACGGTCAGCCGACTTCTTCTTCATACTGATTATAACATCTTGAGCTTGATGACAGTATGCTTCGGAGGCATCAACAAGGCCCTTATCAGCTTGTTGCTTGATCTCTTCGTTGTTGCCGACGAAAGAGAAGGGCTTAAAACGAATACTGTGCGGAATGATTCCGTTTTTCTTATGCTCAGCCATAAAATGATATCACTGCATCTGGGTCCAGTATTTCAGAAAATGCTTCTTAAAACCCGCAGCAGCTTGAAATTTGAAAACGTTGAGGCAAGAAGGTGTAGCCTGCTTTTCCAGAAAGGCGTCAGATACGTCTCCAAGGAAATCAAATGACGACATCGTTAATGTTGTCGTTGTCCAGGGTCACAGTGACGTTGGCTTCATGAACCAAAGTTGCAGCTTCAGCCAGGTTCGGAGCATCAACACGCTTCGTCATCGGTTGAGGAGCCATAGTGTGCACTAGGACAATCACAGCAGGAAGTTCTGGAGACTCGCAGATACGTTTCTTGCAAGGATGAACTGGAGTCGAAAGGATTGGGTCCTCTCGATCAGTAATGACGACTTGATGTCCTCCTCTGGCGAAAGACTGCCTTTTTGTAGGTTGTCGAGTCGCCTCGGGAATTGATTCCTTGGAGGAATTTTGAATTTAAGAAGTAGACCGGGTCGTAGCCCGGGTTGCTTGAAACTCGAAACTGGCCTTCGCAGTGTTTTGTGTCCTCAAACTCAAGGAACACCACTTATTTGTGGCAGTAGACGTTGCGTGGCTGCAGATTCGGAGTTGTTAGCAGATTGTTAAGAAAGTAAATCAGGCTTGTAAAGACCTGTGTTTATTTGTAGAAAAATCTTCTTGTGAAAAAAAATCTGTGGTAACTAGTTTCGGCGTAGGAGCCTTCGTCTGACCACAAGAAAGCAAATGAGACCTCGAGGATTATATAATGACCTCGAGGGGATCCCGCTCGCTATTAAGCTTGCAGGAGAACCCAAGTCTCAACAAAATAATCTACAGTAACAGAACTACACTACGCTAGCACTTACGAGCAGAAACTAAAACGCTTCCAAAGCTTTTTGGTAATTTCCATGCCAGAATAGCTCTCCTCCATGTAAAAACATCGCGTGACATTGTATCCAAGTGTGTTTTGAGTCGACTCAAAACACACCTGCATTACGCCATTCTTCCTCGTTTGTTTGACCTCCTGATCTCTGTCAACTTTCAATTCCTCGCCGTTTCACCATGCCTTGCCATGCCGCCATTCTTTGCGTCTCCTATTCTGCACACCCCTTCCCATCCCTAGTCTCTCTACTCATCCTTGACCTGCCTGCTACCACGTCCCTCTGAGACCAGGATCAACTTCCAGAGATTCGAATGGACGGCTCAGATCTTCTCGTGGACCTAGAGAAGGCCCTAAAGGATGGCTTTTTGGCGGTCCACAATGCAGCACTTGAGGAGAGTGAGTGGGGTGCAGGTGGGAGGGTGTGAGGAGAGGAGAGTGAGTGGGGGGCAGGTGGGAGGGTGTGGGGAGAGGAGAGTGAGTGGGGGCCAAGTGGGAGGGTGTGGGGAGAGGAGAGTGAGTGGGGTTGGGGGTGGGATGTACGAGAGGAGGGTGGGATGCAACCATATCTACGACTATTTCCTCTATTCCACCTGCTCCTACCCCTTATAGCCTTCCTTTACTGCAGTATAAGCAACAGGCACTATAGTAGTTATATTGTATCTGTACAAATTGTTCCTCTTACATACATGCCTCACTCCGTTTCATACCCCTGCCTTGTTCGATCGCAGCATTAGAGGCACCAAAGTGGTGGTAGCTCACCTCTACAAGTTGTTTCTCTTATTTGCCTCTCTCTTTTCATTTCATACTCCTTACAGCCTCGTTCAATTGCAGCATAAGTGGCACCGCATCAGTGCTAGCTCACCTTTACAAGCAGCGGCTGGCTGTGGCGTGGGTGGGGGACTCGAAGGCTGTGCTGGCACGGAGACGAGAGGGCGGAGGTGAGAAAGTGTGGATCAGAGACGGAGAGCACGGGTGAACTGGAAACAACATGGGAGATTATGAGAGGCCGTTTAGTAGTGGCTTGCTAGCTGTGGCGTGGGTTTGGGACTCACGGGCTGTGCCTAGAGATGAGAGAGCGGAGGTGAGCAGAGGGTAGATTTCGAGAGATTGAATGTGAGAGACGGAGAGGGATGGGTGAAGAGAGGGGAACGAGAGTGAAAGGTGGGTGGCTCTATAAGCAGCGGCTAGCTGGCTGTGGCGTGGGTGGGAGACTCGTGAGCTGTGCTGGTACGAAGACGAAAGAGGTGAGTGGAGTGGGGGGCAGAGGAGGTGAGGAAGAGAGGAAGCGGGTGAGAGGAGAAGTGTATGTGGGCGTGGGTGGGAGACTAGTGGGTTGTGCTGACTCGGAGACGAGAGGGAGGACATGTGCAAAAGGGAGAGATTGCATTACAGAATGTAAGACGCAAGAGGGAACATGAAAGAAGAGAGAGTGGGTGGGGGACTCGAGGGATGTGCTGGCAAGAGGAAGAGAGGGAAGAGGTGAGTGGAGGGCGGAATGACCTCTCCATTCCCTCTCCCCTGCCCGCACCCACCCTTCCCGTTCTTCCATGCCATGACCTGGTGGCAGTGCGGCTGCCTGCCGTGGACCACAATCCATCACACCAAATCAAACCCCCTTCCTTCTCTCCCTTATGACCCTCTCCATTCTTCCTCCCCTGCCACATATTAGGATGACCCAACGGCAGTGAGGCTGTCTGCAGGCCACAAGCTCTCAAGCTTCCCTCCCTTCCCTTCTCTTTCCCCCTCTCCGTTCCCTCTCCTTCGTTTCCACCCGTTTCTTCCTCCCCTGTCACAAAGCGGGATGACCTGACAGCGGCACGCCTGTCAGCAAACCACAAGCTCTCTCTGTCCCGAGCCCCCCTCCCTTCCCCTCCCCTTTTCCCGTCCACGTTCCCCCCCCCCCTTCCCATGCCTCAGATCGAGATGTCCTGGCGGCGGTGCGGCTATCAGCGGACCACAAGCCAAACATCGAGGAAGAGAGGGCAAAGATAGAGGCCAGTGAAGGCAGCGTGCAGTAGTGAGTGATCTGAATGGTGCTCTCAGCAAGGGGTGATGGGGCATGACATGAGAGGTCATGCTGCATGGGCGTGAGAGGTCATGCTGCATGGGCGTGAGAGGTCATGCTGCAGCAGAGAATAACTGGTGTGCGCTTGCATTGATGACACGTGGCACATGGCACATGGCAGGGATGTGGACGACGTGGGGCCGTTCCAAGTGTGTGCATATGAAGACGGGTCCCATGCTGGGCCTGGCCATGAGTCGCAGCCTGGGGGATAAACTAGCGCACACTGTGGGGGTTCTCCGCCACTCCTGAGGTATGCTCCCACCCACTGCATGTGTCCGCTCACACAGATTGAGTGCTTCGTCCTTGCACTTCCTCAACCCTCCCTATGTCCTCACGCCACGCCCCTCCCCTCCGCTCTCCCTCACAGGTGGTCGTGTGTCGTCTCGACCAATCAGACGCGTTTCTGGTGCTCGGGTCGGACGGCCTGTGGGAGCATGTGGGGGACGACGAGGCGATAGGGGTGGTGGTGGTGGCGTGGAGCATAGAGCGGGTGTGAAGGCGCTGCTCTCTCTCCTCCGTCCCACTGATCACTCGCTTCACTGGATGGAACCACTCGACCCTCTACTCTCTCTCCACCCTCTCCTCACTCTTCTCTCTTTGCACCCTCTCCTCACTCTTCTCTCTCTCCACCCTCTCCTCTCTCACACGAGCCATCTCCGGCACCTGCAGCCAATCACATGCTGCGGTTCATGTGCCCTTGCCTTCCGCATGCCTTGTGCTCCCTCCTCCCCTGATCTGCCCGGGACCATCCGCCCTGCACCCACCAGCGCCAGCCTCAGCGCCATCCTCCTCAGCACCACCGTCGCCATCACCATCATCATCCCCACCAGCATCAGAATCATCACCTCCACCATTCTCAGAACTGAATTCGCCCTCATCGGCATCAGAATCGCCATCGCCATCGCCATCACCGTCAGCAGTGTGTGATGCCGTCACAGCGCCCCGCTGCGAGTGCCTGCCCATGCGGCTCACCTGGTCTTCACAGGCAGCAGCTGCAGATGGGGAAACAGATGGGGTGCAGCTGAGAGCAGCAGGGCTGGAAGGAGACTCGGAGGCAGTTGCAGTTGCAACAACAACAACAACAGCAGCAGTAGAGGGGAGGCATGAGGAGAGGGGGAAAGGAGGGAACAGCAGGGAGGGGGAGGTGCCGGCGGGGTGTGCTGCCCACACGCTCCTGGTGCTGTGGGGTACGTCCCTAGCTGCTGCTGTGGGGGCTCTGGTGCTTGTTGATGTGGCTGCTGCTGCTCCAACGCACACAGCAGGCACCAAGGCCAGCAGTTGAAGCATGGAACTTGTTCTGAGGCGTCTCAATCAAACTCAACTGCTGCAGCGCCCATTGGGGCTATGAAGGCCCAGACATGAGGTGTGAAACGGTAGGAATAAGAGGAGCAATGGAGCAACGCAAATGCTGCTGCGGCTGTGGTGGGTTCTGGTGCTATTGACACTGCTATTGTTGTTGTTGTTGAGGAGAGAAGACGCAGCATGCATTGCCTTGCTTCGTAGGCAGCACCATGGCGGTATTCGCCAACAACTTTGAAAATAGATGGCATTTTGACGGCATCGGAATAATAACCACCAAACCCTTTTTTTATCAGTCGCGGAAAAGGAAAATGTCGAATTTGGGGGTCCGAAGGTTTTTCTACGAAAAGCCTGCGTTTGTGTTGCGCGAAGTGTCCAAAAAACAACGCTCGCGAAACGCGACATTCCGTAAACCAGTTCTAGATGTTTTCACTGACACAAAATCGTCACCCGAAAGTTGCATTCCCGTCAACATTTTCGCGTCAAACGGTTTCGCGCGTTCGAGAGAGTTTGCAAACGGTAATGCCCAAAAACAAATGAGAGTGGGATGTAACCACATTAACAACGAAACAAAACGACCCCATGAATTTATGAAGATAAGCAGTAGAAGAAGGCGCCATAGCTAGGAAAGCCCTAGCTAGGCAAGAAACAGTTTAGGCAAAGAGGGGGTTCACTAGCAGGAATGAGGATACAAATAGCAAACCCTAGAAGGGTTGTACTCGCTATAGAGCACCCCACTACAGGCTAGAGCATAACATTCTGACACACCCCCATAGCCAAAGTGGGGTGTAATCAGCAGAGCAAGCAAAGCAGAACAAGCTCAGGGTGGATCACAATGTCACCACACATTCTGAGCACAAGTACAAGAAGCAATAGTTTAAAGTTCACAATTATGAGCAAAGCTAGAGGCTATCGCAGAGGGCAAGTGAGGAGGAGGAGGCGAGACAGTAAGAGGAGAGGAGATAGGAGGCGACGACTGAAGCTGCAGACACACGGGCAACAGGAGGCACACTGGCACAGCGGCTACCGGAACAGCGCTCCGGACTACTGGAGTAACTGGCCCTGCGGCTAAAAGTAGCGGCAGACGAGCAACGGACCCACGGGCGACTGGCACAGGTGGCTGCGACTGGGCTACCGGAGCAACTCCCCGGACTACAGGTGCTGCTGGCGACACGACGGCAACCTTCGTTCAACCTCCCCAAACAGTCCCACCCCCCCTGACACACACCCCCTGCTTCACCCCTAGCTCCACTCCCCCTTCACCCCCCTTAGTACCACTCCGACGGCTCCAACAGGTCCACCCCCCTCAGCGGCAGCTGCAGCACTGGGAGACGGAGGAGGAGGAGGAGCAGGGGACGGCACACAGAAGCTGCACCCCCATGCCCCCCACCCCCAAACCCTAATTCAGGAGAACGGGCAGTAGCAGGGGTGGGGCGCCATCAGAAGCACGGGGGACAGCGGGCAGCGCAGGGGCAGCGAAGAACGGGCCGCCCATGGGCCTGGCACAGCCGCCCGAACCACGCGCAGGCGGCCCGAGCCGCGCGCGGGCCTGGCGCAGCCCGTACTGGCCGCGCGCGGGCCTGGCGCAGCCCGTACGGGCCGCGCCCAGGCTGTACGGGCCGCGCACAGGCCACGACGGGTGACGGGGGGCGACGCGCGGGTCCCCGTCGCCCGTCGCAGCGCCTCCCGGGAGCGACGCGCTGCGTGACGGGGCAGAAACCCGCCGCGCGCCTCGGGGCGCACGGCGGGCAGAGAACCGCCGCGCGCCTCGGGGCGCACGGCGGGCAGAAAACCGCCGCGCGCCTCGGGGCGCACGGCGGGCAGAAAACCGCCGCACGCTCCGAGCGCGTGGCGGGATGAAAAATCCGTTGCACGCCACGGGGCGTGCAACACAGAGAGTAGCAGTAGCAGCGGAAGCAGTGAGGTGGGGCCCACAGGCCAGGAGCATATCGCTCTAATACCATATGAAGATAAGCAGTAGAAGAAGGCGCCATAGCTAGGAAAGCCCTAGCTAGGCAAGAAACAGTTTAGGCAAAGAGGGGGTTCACTAGCAGGAATGAGGATACAAATAGCAGACCCTAGAAGGGTTGTACTCACTATAGAGCACCCCACTACAGGCTAGAGCATAACATTCTGACAGAATTCTTCACGAAATCTAGCGAGGTTGCAGAACTGGATACATTGTTTTCGTTTTTTTCTCAAATCTGAACCCCAACCACCCAAACAAAGCCACGGATGCTAGATGGTTCTTCAGGGGTGTGACGTGTGCGCCCAAATATCATTTTTACCCAATCACTGTCAACCCACACCTGCCATTTTGAACACGTCAGCACATTCAGCCAAACCAAACGCCCACCTCATAGTTCCATTCCCCCACCTCATCTTTCCACCCCGTTGCAAACCACGCAGATTCCCAGCTTTCACTCACTTATTATCACCTACGCACACTGATCACACACTTCATACTGCAACTCTCTTCTTCAACTTCTCCAACTCTCTTCTTCAACTTCTGCAACTCTTTTCGTAATCTCCGCACTCCTCGTCCAACCCTTCTTAACTCCTAGTTCCTTCAAGCCCACAGCCAGACTGTGTGTGAGAACGTCGAGACTATGTTGCCTTGCGCGAACTTAGTGTCGTTATTTTTTTTTACACATCCCTCCCCTTTTCAGACGGTAGCTCCGTTCATCTATTTACGTCGCGCTGCTGGGGCACATGAGAGTCGCGCAAAGGACGGGCATTGTTGCGCAACAGGCCAGGTACGTTCACAGTTCCGATCTTGCACGTGAAGTTGTCTTTAATTTATTTTATCGTGCAGGTTCTGATCTTGCACGTGAAGCTGTCTTTATTTAATTTTGTCGTGCAGGTTCCATTTGTTTAGGTACACGTTTTTTCTGGTGAGACATACAACTGTATATGTATTGTTCGCCGTTTCGCCGCTTCCAATTACTGTGTCGCTTCGGTTTAACGCATTGCTCCTCTGTGCAGCTACATTTCACGTTAACTTCTCGTATGCCTCGTTTTCAGCTCGTTCTTTTATCACGCTTATTCTGGACTTTCCCCCCTGCCTTTAAACCAACGATTCCCCTTTCTAGGTCGACATCTTTAAGCGTTTTCGCGGTGGACATGCGTACACGCGCCATTTGGGTAGCTACTTTTACAATTCGTAAGGTTCTAGTACCTCTCGTAACGTATCTATTCAGTTTCATACGATTGCATTTCCTGTTTCCATTGTTCACGATAGGCTAGATCTTTTATCTATTGGTACCACTTTCTCCCTCTCACTCGCCCCCTTCCTAGTTTTTTGCCATGTCATGTTCATTTCAGCTTTCCTACAAGTGCAACCCCTTCTTACGATTGCAGCTAAGTCTGTTGCAATCGCACCACAGTGGTGGTATTTAGTCCCGCCGCGATTGACTGTCCTAAGGGTATGTATTACTGGTGTCAAGCAAAATTCTCTATTACTAACCCCTCTGAAGCAATGTCAGGGGGATACGTAACAGCACGCTGTGTTTGCATGTGTTGCAGAGCGTGCCTGGTTTTGCAGGTTTACCGTCAACCAGGAGTGCTGTATTTTAGTTTTCAGCATTACAGCATACTCCAGTCGTAAGAACCCTAAAGGTGAGCATATAGTTTTGCTTGTTTATCAAGTTTCCCTTTCCTTTGTCGTTCCAGGTTACATTCGTTTTCTACCTGGCAGAATGTGCAGGGCTTCTTAGTGGTGCATTATGCATAGTTTATTACTGTTGGAAAAAATGTACGCATACTGGTAAAAGTTGTATGCCCTATTAGATGTATGAACGTGTAAGAATAAGTTATTGTAATTGTTACCAAAAACGCACACCAATATTGGAGATTCGTCAACCGGAACCATCCAATTGCCAGCCAATGAAATTCGATACTGCACACCCCATTTCGTGCCAGATTGGTCCACATGGCACGTTTACGTGCGTAGATATTGTCCGGATCTGACGGTTGACATTAGCGTACAGGAACTGCCGAGTCAGCATGTTTCAGTCTCATCTAGCGTACATCGTATGCCACGTGGCTTTGTCGTGACAGTTTCGCATAGGTTGCTCAAAAGTGACGTTTTCTGCCCCCCTAGTTGCTTTAATGTATACCTCACAATTGCATCAAAGTGTACAGCTTGTGTTGGGAATGTGACGGGAAAGTCACTTCGCAAGTCACGTGAGCTACCACTGTTTTCGACGAAGACTTTTTTCTTGCGCGCGAAATGCAACAGAAAAGTTACAGAACAGTAAATTTCCAGTTGTTTTTCGCCTTGCCCTTTTTCGCGATGAGGAGGGAAGCTGCTGGGCTTGGCTAAGGAGCGGTGGCTATCAAGGGGCCGGTACGTTGATAATATCACTGCTCTGGTGGTGGGGTTCACACACAGGAAGGTGTAAAGTGGACTTTGGAGGGAAGTGGGGTGAAGGAGAGAAAGAGGATGGGCAAAGGGGAGAAAAGGACTGGGTATGTTGAAGGTATCTCTGCTCTGGTGCTGGTTGTGGGGCTCACGCACCGTAAGGTGTGGAGGGGGGGCTGCTGGGCATGGCGAGGGAGTGGTGGATGCCAAGCGACGGAGCACCGGAATGACGCATCAGATATTTTGCCTTTGCGTGTCTGATGCATCAGAAATTTCAAAAGAACTTGTCGGACCAATTAAAACAGAGTTTCTAGCGAGTAGATGCACTCTGGGTCATTGGTGAGTCTGACTTTTCTTGACCTGTCACATTCATTGGTGTACACACTGGTTAAGATTAAGGTTATATATTGATCGTAATCAATGTACACAATGCAGAGCATAGAGCTATCTAGAAATATGGCCGAGATGGCCAGCATCCTATAAGGAGCACGTGGAACACACGTTATTTCCTTGTCTTTGACAACCGCCAACAGACTGGGGAGACGCTCTATGCCGGAGTTGCCTATGGGGGTCGGAAAGGGTTTCCAAGGAGCCATGAGAGTCCGAGGTCGGGGTGGATG